TTCACCTAAGTGTTGATGATCTTCAGTTGGGACCAAGAAAGAGAAATCTTTTAAACCTAGTCTTCATAGAGTTTTCAAACTTCTAGCATCTCGATTGAAGGAAATTACTTTGAAAGTAATATGTTTCCTTTGCATGGAAATGTTCATATATTAAATACTATGAATACTTCAAAGGTTGAAAATGATCAATTTTGTGTTACTTTTCATAATAAATAGCAATATACTTTAATTTTCTTACATTGTATTAAAAAAGAATGATTTGTGTTATTGCATGTAGCTGAGATGGGTTCATTTTCATTATCACATTCTTCTTACATTATTATATAAATCTACCACATTTGGTCAGTTGTTCTATGATAGGTGGCTATTCAAGGCTTGTTTCAGTTTGAGGCCATTATGAATAACATTACTATGAAAAGTTTTATGTATGCCCATGCATCTGCTTTTACACATTAGGTGTTAGCTTTTATTTGCTGACTTGTTGATGTCTATGTATTCTCTAGACAAGTACTTTACTGCATATGCCATGGACACTGTGTCTTGCTTACTCTCTTTATGTAATCTTTCGATGAATTTTAACACAGTAAAAATCATCTGCCTTCTCACCTATAATTAGTATTTTCTTGGTGTTCTTTGATCTTGAATTCAAATTTTTCTTGTTTCACCTTTGAAAGCTTTTACTGTTTGCCTTTTACATTTGTTTACAGTCAATATAGAATTGTTTTTGTGTATGGTCTGAGTAACATTTCAACTGTATTTTCCCCTTCAGAGAGAGTCAGCTATTCCAAATAGCATTGACCATGAATGTTATTTGTGTATTGAAAATATCCCCTCTTCTTTGAAGTGTCATATTTGTCATGGATCAAGAAACTACGTCTGGATTTATTTGGGAGCTTTCTATTCTATTTCATGGGTCTATTTGTGCTTGAGCTATTCATCCACTGTTTTAATAACTATGGTTTTACTAAAGTTCTGTGTGGTAGGGCAAATCTTCCTCAGGACTGTTATTTAGAATCCTCTTGGTACTTGAACTTTAGCCCTGCCTTATCAAGTTTAGAAATTAAATTGTCATGCTCCACAAAAAACAAATGAAATAACATATTGAGATCTTTACTGATGCATTCATAAGTCTTTATTTTCTTTCAATTAGCTATTTAGAGGTTTTTTCCCAGTAGAGGTCTCATACCACTTTCATTAGATTTAATCCTATACACTTGATGTCCAAAAATCAATTGTAAATACTATCTTTTTTAAAAATGTGTTTCTAAGGAGCACAGAGATAGTATAGGAGGTGAGGCCTTGTATGCTTCTGAAACTGATTTGATCCCTGACAGCATATATGGTTCCCTAAGCTCTGAAAATGGTTATTCCTCTGTTCATAGGTAGGAATAAGTCCTGATCCCTGCTTGGTGTGAAACAAAACCCCCAAAACAAATGATTGAATATTTAAAATATGTTATCTAATGATTGTTAAAGGTACATAGAATGAAACTTTTGTGTGAACTATGTGTGACTATATGTGTGACTATGTGTGTCTGCATATTTATTCGGCATCCTTGCTAATGTTAACAACTTATTAATTCTAATAGTCATTCTGTACGTTTTTTTAAATTGAATCACCATGAGATACACAGTCACAAAGTTGTTCATGATTGAATTTCAGTCATACAATATTACAACACTCTTCCCTTCACCGATGTAAATTTCCCACCACCAATGTCCCCCAGTTCCCCAGTTTCCCTCAAGTCACACACACCCCATCCTGTCTCTGTGGCAGGCACTTTTCTTCTCTCACAAGGTTGCCAACCCTCCCCACTCTTATTCAATATAATACTGGAAGTGCTTTACCCAGCAATTAGGTAGTTAGGCAAGAAAAATATTTCATGATCATTCAGATAGGAAAGGAAGAAGTAAAGCTTTCACTGTATATTCCTTTATATTCAACCCTTCCACATTTTTTTTTTGCTTACCTGGAGCTGATTGTTGGAGAAAAGCTGGGCGTTTGTTTGCTTTTCTTTTGTTTTGTGGTCAAACTCATGGTTTCATGCATGCAAGACATGCGTTCTACCACTAAGTTTACGAATATTATGTCATTTATGAGTAATGATTTTGTTTCGGGCTGGAGCGATAGCACAGTGGGTAGGGCATTTGCCTTGCACGCAGCCAACATGGCCGACCCGAGTTCGATTCCTCCGCCCCTCTCAGAGAGCCCGGCAAACTACCGAGAGTATCTTGCCCTCACGGCAGAGCCTGGCAAGCTACCCGTGATGTATTCGACATGCCAAACACAGTAACAACAAAGTCTCATGATGGAGATATTACTGGGCCCGCTTGAGAAAATCGATGAACAACGGGAGAACAGTCACAGTGATTTTGTTTCAAAAGTTTTTTCTCCTTAGTGCTTTGTTTAAGATGTCCATCATTAATTTTTTAAAAAATTGATTGTATTTTGGGGTCAATTCAATAACTAAAGTACATTAATTCTGATAAATTAGATTTAAACAGGACTTTAACATTCAAAAAGCAAAAAACATTTAAATATATGAGAAGTCACCCTCTTATTCCAGATGTTCATCGACTTGGTAAAAATATCAAATCTCTGTCCCTCTGTTTGACCTTTCCCCATTGGGACTTTGCAGGATTTCTTGTCTTTAAAGCTCCATAGGTGACATGATAATTGGGCTTAGAAACCAAATCAGAAGATTTGTCTATACAGAGTTTAGTAATTTTGTATCACAGAGTGATTCTCAGCCCTGGATGCTTATGAAAATCATCTTTAGGAGCTTTTTAAAAACCTTGCTGCCTTATTCACAATAGCCAGGATGTGGAAACAACCTGAGTGTCTGAGAACAGATGACCGGATAAAGAGACTATGGTACATTTACACAATAAAACACTATGCTGTTGTTAGGAAAATTTAAATTATGAAATTTGCATATAAATGAATGGATATGGAGAGTATAATGATTAATGAAATGAGTCAGAAGGAGAAATACAGACATAGAATGATTGATTTCATTTGTGGGGTATAAAAAACATAATGTAAGACTAATACTCAAGAAGAGTAGGAAGAAGGGCCAGGAGAACTGGTCATGTTTAGAAGCCTGTCCCAAGTGATGGGGGAGAAGGCAGTTGGGATAGAGAAGGGACCGATATGGTAAAGATAGTTGGATAAAGAACATAGAGATAATTGGTATGTTTTAAATCTTGACAGTGGAAATTATTTCACAAGTTAATATATGGCAGAAGTAACCAAGTCATTGCACTTTAAGTATGTTCAGTTTATTGCACATAAATTCACAAATCACAATCACAAATCATCCTGTTATTCGTCGATTGCCTCGAGCAGGCCCCAGTAACGTCTCCTTCATCCTAGCCCTGAGATTATATTCAAGGCTCTTTAGGAGAATGAGACCCATCATTGTTACTGGTATTTGGCATATTGGGTACGACACAGGGAGTTTGCCAGACTCTGCCATGTGGGCAGGCTACATTCAGTAGCCTGCCAGTTTGTACAAAGTAGGAATGAGATAATAAGATGTCATAATAAGATGTCGCGCGGCCGCGTATGCGGCTGCACGGTTCCAGGAGCATAAATTATGCATCAAAAAAGCTGTTTGAAGTAAAAGGTCCCCAGGTGATGTGTGTGCGTGTGCATGCACACACAGAGAACAGTAGCTTTTTCTAAAAAAGACACAGAACTGGAAGGGCAAGTTGGATAGATTTTCATTTCACAACAGATAATACACATAGTTTAGTGACTTGATCAATTCTAGACTTCAGTTTCATTCAGTTGATAGATTGAAATTTTTTTTGGTGCAGGGGCTGGAGGTTGCGGGCTACACCCTGTGGTGCTTAGATAATACTTCAGGCCCATGTTTGAGAGTTGCTCCTGGAAATGCTCAGGGAACAATATGTGGTACTGGGGCAAACCCAGGCCTTCTGCATGCAAAACATGCACTCTAGCCCTCTAACTTATCTTCCTGCCTGGCCTAGATTCAATTTCACTTTTTAGCTTTGACAATTTGATTTCCAGTCGCCTAGTGCCCCTCCTGGACACACGAGGGCGCTGTGCAGCTAGCAGCTTCTTCCTCTCCACTGAACACTCTTGTGAGATCGAAATAGGCTGGTCAGGTGTCTTTTCTTTCTTTCTGCCCTCTGGGGGAGTGCGAGCCCCACTCCTGAGCCATCATCATTTTCAGCTGTCCCCACCCAGTGATCCTGCTGCAGGTGAGCCCCCACTTTGAAAAAAGTCAGTCCATGAACCTCTGAATTTACAGAATAGCTTTAAAAAACCACCAGATGCTTTGAAAATATCCAGTCTCTAGGTAGCAAAGCCATTAAAATAGAATCCTATTGAATATGTGTGAGTACACATATGTTCATGTACGTGTCTGTCCATGTATCTGTCAGTAATCACATTGCTATTGCTCTACTTCATAAGAAAATGATTTATCCATATGTTTGTTATAGATACAATTTTGAGATCCTGCAGGCAGTAAAAATTGTTTAGGTAAAAAATGAAATTAAGATTAACAAATAAGCCAAGTATTTTTCCGTTGTAATATGACTTTAAATGTGTAATTTTTAAAAAGCATTAAATGTGTAAATGTTTTTGTTTATATGGGTGTTTGCAAATACGTAAGCTGGGTAATATTTTAGAATGGATTCTATTCAAACACTCTGTCTATGCATCTTCATTTTCCTGCAACTGCTAGTGGAAAATATGAATGCTTCAGAAGAAACTGACTAGAATTAATGCTACAAAATGATCTAGCAACATCCTAAACCTCAATAAATGCATTGTTTTAAATCCCGTTCAGAAATAAAAGGCAAATGCTCTTCTGAAGTGCAGCATCATCAGAGATTTAAAAATTTTATACCCCCATGCATATAAAACAATTTTCAAAATAATACTATAATGTCTTAATGCTGAGTACTTCTATATTTTATTTTATAGTCTTATTTCACTTTCCCTAAAATTTGCCTTTTAATTTCAGATTGTTCTTCGAGCCAGTTACAACACCTTGTGGGCATACTTTCTGCTTAAAATGCTTTGAAAGATGCCTTGATCACAATGCAAAATGTCCACTCTGCAAAGACAGTCTTTCACAGGTAAAAAGAGTATCTCTTTGTTGGTTTTGTTAGCTTATCTTGAAGTGGGTATTTTAGCTATGTCCAGTTGAAAACCAAAGCACTGCATTTTGCTAGCATTAAAACTGTTTCTCCATTTCTCTCTTCTTGTAGCCACCCTCCCCTTTCTATAAAGTCTTCCAGGCAAGTGAGGCAAAACGCTTTTAAAAAATAATTAATTGATTGATTTTTATTGGGGGTAACCACACCCAGTAGTGCTTCGTGCTTTCTCCTGATCGCCACAGGCTTTGCTCAGGTGACCATAATTAGTGCTGGGGCCTGATTCGGAGTCATCTGACAAGCACCTCAACCCCAATACTATATCTCTGCCTCCAAATATAGCTTTTTTATTAATTCCTTCATTTTTTTTTTTTTGCTTTTTGGGTCACACGCGGCGATGCACAGGGATTACTCCTGGCTCTGTACTCAGGAACCACTCCTAGCAGTGCTCAGGGGACCATATGGGATGCTGTGAATTGAACCCAGGTTGGCCACATGCAAGGCAAAAGCCCTACCCGCTGTGCTATCACTCCAGCCCCCTATTAATTCCTTCTTATAAAATTAATTTGAGTTGGAATCAAATGTAATGATGATAAATATGGATCCTGCTTCTAATCCTTTCATAATCCTTGACTCACTGTAATGCTAGGTGATTCTGTATGTCCTTCCTGGCTCCAATGTCTCCTTGTCAGCAATTTTTATTCATAACTTGAAGATACCAATAATAGGTTCCCCAGAAAAAATTCCACGACTTCGATATGTTTTTGTACCACCTTGCAGAGCTGCCATACATTAAGATACTTGGCTACTTGAAAAGCTCTGGGGCTTCTAAAATGAATCAGACAAAGTGCCATCTTTGTTTTTCAAGTGAACTCAATGGATTTTCCCATAGCACAAGAAGACCCATTTTCCATTTGGTTCTCCCTCCTTCAAGGACTTATGAGCCACACTTTACAACCAGTATTAATGTTCTTTGACTCCTGTAATTTCCAAGGAGGTTGCGGTTTCAACCCACAGGTGTAAAGAGATTGAAAAGCGCTTACTCCATGGCTTGGAAGCCGGCCTCAAATGCTGGGAGGAAAGGCAGCTCAGAGAGAGAAGGGAACACCAAGTAAAGGATATTTGGAGGACCAGCTCGGGTTGGGAGATGCGAGCTGAATGTAGACTGTAGATCAAACACAATGGCCACTCAATGCCTCTAGTGCAAATTACAACACCCAAAAGGAAAGAGAGAACAAAAGGGAATGCTCTGCCACAGAGGTGGGGTGGGGTGGGGGAGATGGGATGGGGGTGTTGTGGGAAATATTGGGATCATTAGTGGTGGAGAATGGGCACTGGTAGAGGGATGGGTACTCAGTCATTGTATGACTGAAACGCAAGCACGAAAGTTTGTAAGTCTTTATACTCCAAGGTAATTCATTAATAAATTTTTTTAAAAAATTAAAAATAAAATAACAATAAAAAAGAAAGAAAAGCACTTCTTTAGGTTCAGAGAGATCACGTGACTCTCACCCCCGCACTGCAGCATTTAAACGAAGAAACTGTTAGCCAGAGAGATGGTACAGTGATAAAGGTGCCTTGCACATAGTCAACTCCAGTTCAATCCCTGGCATTGCATGGATCCCCAAGTCCCACCAGGAGTGATCCCTGAGCAGAGACCCATCAGCATAATCTGAGTACCACTGAAAATTCCCTTCCAAAATAAAAACAAAACAAAACAGAAAATTTAACCAAAAGAATGGAGTGAAATAACCACTAAAGGCAGCCCTAATGGTTTATAATGAATGGGATGAAAATCAATGTCATATCATGACTAAAGTCAAGAGGTAAAGGGGTAGCATTTGCTGATCTGTTTATAGGTGAGAAGACATAATTCTTTACACATAATGAATTTGTGTTGTAGAACCTCTGAAATATCCATATAAATGGACAGGGAAGAAAATCTATTCATATGTTCATCACCTTAGGAAGCCACTGTTAACATTTTAGTATGTGCCTTTCTTATTTTTTAGCTTTAACATCAGTGAAGGAGGCACTCTTCTTTGATTGGCCACCTCTTGAGCCACTGATTTCTTCCAAAGATTGGCATCAGACAAAGTGAGGGCTTGATTCTCCAGGAGGTAGTTGATGGTGACTGATAATGCATCCTGGCTATAGATGTGGTGGGTTCCAAGACTCAGAACCTAACTGATATTATCTATCTCTGTGTATTAACACAGGAGCACACACCATTTCCCAGAGAGATTAATATCTTATTCCAATCATGCTTACTTTGGACTAGAAGCACAGTCTCCCTGGGAAAGGAAATATTGTCTAAAGCCAGCAGTTTTTCACTCAGGAGCCCCCTCTGCTGGGCTTGTAAGTGTTATTTCCGTTGCAGGCAATTTTCTGCAGATATTTTCCATCCTATTGTCTGGTTCATTCAGTTTAACACCTGATACTGACAGATTCTTAGATATGCATGAGGTAGGGGTGTTTGGGAGAAGAGCAATAGCAATTAAGCTAGAAGATGGCTTGTCACATCATTTTCATGAAACTTAGATGATATATTAAAAAGAAATAGCCAAAAGCCCTATTCAGTGCATTTTTAAAAACTTAAGATCTACAAAATTTTCAGAATTGCAATATTCAGAAATTAAGTATTTTATGGAGAGAAATAGGCAGGAAAAATATAAATGGTTAAATTTTTTACTTTGTGAACCTCTTTGCTAATGACTATAAGCATTTTCTAGCTAGAGCATCAGTGAGCTTATAAACACTATAATCAATAAAAGGAAAGGAAAGGCCTTTTCCCCGTTACAACAAGGGCATTAATTCCAGTGCTTTTTGAAAGGGATTATACTTTGAAAACATTAATGCACATAATTTTTAGCTGAAATGTCCTTATTAATGATAAAAGTACTGAAGTCATCAGTTGTATGTTATTTAAAAAACACTCACATATCAATAATGCATCTATTAAGATAGCATCAGCTGCTGAAGGGAATGGGTCAAAATTACCTCCATACATGGGCATTAGGGTCTTGTGATTACATCAGCAGAGCTCTGTGTTCTTCTGATGACTCCACAATTATCTAATTGCCTTCTCCCCCACTCCTCTAGTGCTTGGCATCAAGAAAATACAAAATAAATGTCACCATGGAGGAAATAATCGCTAAATTTCTTCCAGAAGATCTAGAAGAACGAACAAAAATTGATGAAGAGGAAATGGAAGAACTTTCTAAGTATGTATATGATATTCCTGTTTTCTGTTTCAGTCCAACCAGAGCCCAGTTCACACATTGAACACAATGGGAATTCCCCATTCAGTGAGAGCTTGTTGGTAGCTTGAAATTGGCATGGGAGAGGAGCTCAATAAAATGTAAAGCAGTGAAAGGAAAGCCACCAATAGGGTTTTTCTTCACCCCTGAGACATTTGCTCAACACATGACAGTACATTGCTGAGGTCATAAACCACAGCACTTGACCAGGACATGTTGAGACATTAGCACCTTGGTATTGCTGGCAGGAGGAAATTTGAATGGTTTCATCAGGGGATCTTGTCAAGTGTCAGAATTTTTTGAATACATAAGGAGGTAGGATGAGGTAAAAAATTTAGGATCACCAGAGTTGGCCTTAAAACCCAGTTCTGGGGCCCTAAGCAAGTCATTTACCCCACCTGGACCTCTGTCTCCTCATCTGTATATTGGGGATAATAGTTCGTTCTCCATGGACTTAAAATCAGTGAATCGTTGCTTAGAAATTATTCACCAAATGGTCAGCAGCCATATAGGTATGGTGAGAGGTAAAGGACAGAAATGAACTAGGAGCTCCCAGCTCTGTACCTGTCTGGACTAATAGATAGCTCAATGACTGGGAAAAGTAGAAGCTGGTTATTCATTTCTGCCTCTTACTTGGCTGCCCTTTTGTTTCTGCCTTCCCAGTGGATCCTCACCTCAGGGGTAAGCTTGTTGATGGCAAAAACTAGTATGTTTTTAAAATTTCTTTTTATTATACCACCATGACTTTCAAGTTATTTATAGTTGAGTTTTATACATACAATATTGCAGCACCGATCCCACCACCTGTGTCAACTTCCCTCCACCAATGTTCCCCGGTTCCCTTCCAATATTACTAACCTCTTGACAGGAACAATTGTAAGTTCAGTTGTTAAAGTTTGGGTCTCTTGATTTCAGTGTTGTTGACTCTGTGATTTGGATATGTGGCTCTACCATTCTTAACACCACCTTTGTACCTGACTCCCCTGACCCTGGTGCTTTTCATCTGTCTCTTCTCCCTCTCCCCTCCACTCTTTCTCTACTTCTCCTCCCTATACTTGAGTCAAGGTTGACCTGAGAATCCCCCCTTAAAACAATGCATTCCCTCTAGTTACACTAAATATCATACATAATATTTTTTGATTGTTTTCTTTTATTTTGGGGTCATACCTGGAGATGCTTAGGGATTACTCCTAACTATACACTCAGGAATTACTCCTGGCAGTGCTTGGAGGAACATATGGGATGTAAGGCTTTAAACCTGGGTTGACCACATACAAGCCAAGTTCCTTACTTTTTGTAGTATCTCTCCAGCTCCCCAAAACTGGTCTGGTTATGATCCCAGAATAGAGATATGTAATAGAGAACATTTCAAAACTCAGATTCTAGAATGGATTCAACTCTCACATTGTTTTCTTGGGAAACCAGAGAGAAAATCCTTATTTTATTGTTGACTTACATTGGATATGCTTGGGACAACTTTATCATTATTTCTGATTTATATATTGAGTCCTTCTGAGCTATGTTTTGAGGCAATTTTTTATTCTGGGGCCACACCTAACAATTCTCAGGGGTTACTCTTGGCTCTGTGCTCAGGAATTTCTCCTGGCAATGCTCAGGGAACCATAATAATTGCCAGGGATCAAACCTGGTCAGCCGTGTGCAAGGCAAATGCCCTACCATCTGTACTATTGCTCTGGCCCCTTGAAGTACCATTTAATGCTGTAACACATACTTCAATGAGGCAGAAAACTAGCCCCAAAACACAGTCATGTGAAATAATGTTTTAAAATTAAAAATAATTTTTAAATATCATATAATAATATGGAGCGATAGCCCAGCGGGTAGGGCATTTTGCCTTGCATGCAGCTGACCCAAGTTCGATTCCTCTACCCCTCTCGGAGAGCCTGGCAAGCTACCGAGAGTATCTCGCCTGTATGACAAAGCCTGGCAAGCTCCCCGAGACGTATTCGATATGCCAAACACAGTAACAACAAGTTTCACAATGGAGACGTTACTAGGCCCGCTCTAGCAAATGGATGAACAATGGGAGGACAGTGCTACAGTGCTATCATATAATGAGTTCCCCTATTAAAACACTAGAAAGTACAAGAGGACTATTCATTGAAATGAATGAAATTCATATTTTTAAGAATGTGCAATGGTCTGTTATCTTTTGATAGGTTCCCATATTCCTTTTTAGACTAGTAAGATAACAACCAATGCTGATGAAATAGATGGACCCATACAATATTTTTGCCTTGATTCACCATGTTGGTTGTTATGAATAATTATGGATGCACATGGGTCCTGATTCCAAAGCCAATATACCAGTTTTTCTGAATGTGTGGTGGCCCCATTATCTACAACGAAAGTACACAGTTATTCTATTGTTAAAAAAGGGTTGGAACATTACCGAGGTAGATTATTTTTTCCATTTTTCCCTTCTTGCCCAATTGGTCCTGGTATGGACATTCTGTGGAGTTTTGGCCCATGTAAGATGATAACAGGGGTCATGCAGATAATTTCCCACCACTATTCTGAAGAGCTAGGCCACTAGTTCCTATATAGTAAGAAACTTGGAGAGAGTAGTTTGAGTTGAAAGTAAGAAAGAAAGGAAAGTGGTGGAGAGGAATGAGGAAGAAAGGGAGGGAAAATAGGAAGGACAAAGTAATGAAGGGGAAAAGAAAGAAAGGGAGGGAATGATGGATGAAGGGAAGAAAGAATAGAAGGGATGGGTATGACTGTAGAGAAGGTATGGAAGCAGGAAGGGAGGGAGAGAGGGAAGGAAAGAAGGAAGGAAGGAAGGAAGGAAGGTAGGAAGGAAGAAAGGAGGGAAGAAAGGAGGGAAGGAAGAAAAGATAACTATTGCCTAAAACATTAAAGTACTCCAGAACTTCTTAAGTCAAAATAGAGTATGTGAATGATTACTTTGTTTATCTTAGGCCTTAGACTAGTGTTTCTCAGCTTTTTCCCCACTGTAGCCTCCCCCAGACTTTGTTTCATTTCTGTGGCCTTCTGTACTACTGGTTGGCCCCTTAGTCTCATGATACCTAAACTCTGTTGATGCAATTTTTACCTATGACCCCTTTGAACTATCCTGAAGGCCTACAAAGGGCCTTTGGGCCACTGGTGGAGAAAGGCTACCTTAGACTAACCTCTGTACTAGATCAGAGGACTCAGCCTGTGGCTTCAGTTGCATCTCATTATTTTTTATGTTTCCCTGCTTTCCACTAGGGAAAGACATGGAGTTTGGCCCATCTTTCTATGTTCTCCATTGCTTTAAGTCTCATGTTATTTTCTCTTCCCCACAGTTTAAATAAGAACGTGCCTATTTTCGTGTGTACTATGGCTTATCCCTCCGTGCCATGCCCACTACATGTCTTTGAACCTTGTTACCGCCTGATGATTCGGAGATGCATTGAGACAGGCACAATGCAGTTTGGCATGTGCCTTGGCGATCAATTGAAGGGGTAAATGAAAATCTATGCAAGTTAAGGGAGATGGGGTTAAAAGGGCTTATGTTTGAAGTGACTCCCAAGAGTCAGGGGTGAACAGATGATGAAATGTAGCAGTTTGCCATCATGAGCCTTAAAATAGATCATTAATGATCCTCTGATTCCAACTTTACCATAGGCGTTTCTGCCTACTTGTCTATTTGTTTAATTATTATTTACTTTGGGGTCACTCCTGGTCATACTCAGTCAACTGGACCAGACAGTCCTGCAATACAGTGCTACTGGTCCAGCAGTGCTAGGGTCCACCAGGGTCACCCCTACTGTTATGGGGAAGGAAGGAAAAATGTCCTTGACCTAAAATAACAATGGTTAATAAGTTATAAGGTCAATGTTATTTATAAATGTTATTAATAAATGTTAATATGCTTAAGTGGTGTCAGGGACAAATTTGGGTACTTACATACATAGACATGCAAAAGACTTCTATTTAAAGGAATACTGGGTTTAATATTTACTTGCTGGATAGTGTCTAAGTTGTTTTTATAATAGTGTGGACCCTAGATTCAGATTCTGTGTTCAGATTCTAGTTCCAGCCTTGCAGAAAATTCACTAAACTTTCTGTATCTGGAAAGTGGTATAATAACTGTGCCTACCTTGGTTGATTTGTTGGGAGGATAGGCAAGTGTACATAAGGCACCAAGCATGGCACTTAGCACATAGTATGTGCTTGGTAAATGATATCAGTAATACTAATACATGAGGATTTTTGCCCACACAGGCTGTGCCTGTTGTATACTTGCAACTGTACACTCTAGGATAGGTAGATGCTCCTTGAGGCACAGCACAGAGTTCTAGAAATGACTTGGAAGACAGAACCCAAAAAGAATTCATTAAAACTTCCTTCTTGACTCTATTTCAAAAAACAGAAATTTTGCTGAATATGGCTGCATGTTGGAGATCAAATACGTTCAGTTCTTTGCTGATGGCTGCTCAGTGATTGAGAGCGTAGGGAGGCGACGCTTCAAAGTCCTCCAACAGAGCCTGCGAGATGGCTACAACATAGCTGACATCGAATACATTGAAGATCATAAGGTGAGGGCGGCAATGCCAAAATATTCCAAACCAGCTCATCTGCAGCTTGGCTTATAAAAATGGTTGCCAAAGGATATATTGACATTTTTTAGGGCCTTTGCTGCAGCAACATTGAAGGCTGCTGGTTTGTCGGCATTGTAAACTATAGAAACTCATAGGTTGTAGGGTGGCTAGAGAGTGACCATTTTTCCTGGCTTACCCACTCAGTTGCTAGGTTCTGTTAATGCATAAGAAACATCATAGCCAAACAATCCCAGGGCCCATTTAGCTTCAGAGTTAACTCTATGTTAGGACAAAAGCCCAATCTGGAGTTTGATCCACACATAAAAGTTTTATTTATCTTTTTTGTGATCACTGGGACTCACATACATTTATAATTTACAATGTGCAACCTGCCTAAAAGTGCTTCCCAACAGTCCATAATCCCATAAGGCTGAGGGCTGACATGGCCAGGTGCCTTGGTTTTGTGGACAATGTGTCTAAGAAGAGGTATGTAATCCCATATACATCTATATTTATAATCACTATATTTATAATCACACAAGGAACAAGATTAATAAACATTTGCACCACAAATACATGTATTTGACTTAAAAGATAGACTCAAACATGGAGACATTCAAATTTTTCTAGTAAAACAGATGCAAACAGTAGAAAATAGAAATGCATAAAAAAGCCTATCCTCACTTATTAGCATGCTTCCACTACAGCCAATTTGAGTCTCTGATTTTCCACATGTGTTTCCTCTTCCCTCAGCTGTATTTGCACACAGTTCTGTCATTTGGCTGAGGAGTAGCTGTTTATAGGCCACACAATAAAAAGTGAGATGGGTGACCTTTTTTCTAGAGAGTTGGGATGGGGTTGCTCAACGAGAGTCAAGTGTCAAAAGCAACTCTGTGAATGAAGTAGAAATTCTGAATGCTTCACTTCCACATTGATACTTTCAGATTAAAGAAGAGGATTATGCTGAGCTCATGGGTTTACACAACTGTGTCTATGAACAAGCATCATCATGGTTTCATTCACTCAGAGCATCTCTGAAGATGCGGATACTCAATCACTTTGGTCCAATGCCAAAGAAAGATGCTGATATCAAGGTATATAAATCTGTCTCTTTGGAATCAGGTTAGGGATTATGATGAGATGGGTGCATATTTGCCACCCAAAATTCAAGGATAGAGAAGAAGCCAAATCCAATTTGGTGGTTTTTGGCAGGGTATCGTGTATAAAACCACAAGAACCCCAAGAAGCCAGAATAGGAGTAAGACAAGCAGTAGAAACTTATGTCCCAAACAGATTTTGAAAGCTAAGTCAAGGTAATAAAATGGGAACAGAGACATTGCCAATATAAGAACATTCAATGGGAGTTCAGATCCACTCCACGGTCATGTGCATGGATCAAGATTCATGTAATGATAAGGCTCAATAAAAGGGTGTTCTGGGAAAAAAGAACAAAAGGTTGCTACTTCTGGATGGCTTATTGGTTCCTCCTCTATTGCTGAAGGAAATAGGAGATAGGGCATGCTACCTCACAGGATTTCCATTTGTAATCCTGTTGGAATTGTGAGGTCTTTTTTTTAATCCCCCACCTCCATGGGGTTCTTTTTTGACCTTGTAAGTTGAGACCCTTTTCATTGTCCTTTCAGGGCTGAGAAGGTCCTGAGAAAACAGACTCCAGTTTTTTTAAATACATTAATTATATGTCACATTTTATTCTTTTACATTTTTTATTGAATCACCGTGAGACAACCCATTACAAAGTTGTTCATGATTGGGTTTCAGTCATACAGTGTTCCAACACCCATCCCTCCACCAGTGTATATTTCCTAGTACCAATGTCCCCAGTTTGCCTCCCACCACCCCCAACTACTCCCTCCTATCCTGCTTCTATGGCAGGCACTTTTCTTCTCTCTTTCTCTCTCTCTCACTCTCTCCCTCCCTCCTCCTCCTCCCTCTCTCTATCTCTCTTTTCCAATACCTCCCTTTTTCTCCCCCTCTCTCTCTCTTTCTCTCTCTCCTATTGGGCATTGTGGTTTGCAATACAGATATGGAAAGGCTATCATGTATATCACTTTATCTACTTTCAATACTCAGTTCTTATCCAGCGTGATCATTTCCAACTATTATTGTCATACTGGTCCCTTCTCTGACTTACCTGCCCTCCCCCCATGCACTTGTGCTAGATTCCAACCATTGACCAGTCTTCCTGGCCCGTTTTCCTTGCCTTTGACTATTAATATCATACAGTAATTTTTCTTTCTATACTATTAATGAGTGCAATCATTCTATGTTTTTGACTCATTCTTCTGACTCATTTCACTTAGCATGATACTCTCCATATCCATTCATTTACAGGAAAATTTCATGACTTCATTTTTCCTAATGACTGCTTAGTATTCTGTTGTGTAGATGTATGATAGTTTCTTTATCCAGTCATCTGTTTGCAAACAGATTCTACCTTTAACTGTTCCTTGAGTTAAGTTATAAAAAAAACACCACCTTAGGTTTTATTGGATCTTTTTGTTTTCTGCGGGTTGGTGATGGTCCATGGGAGAGATTAGAAAATCAACTTTCCCCAAGCTTACCAGCCCAATGTGAATCAGGGAATAGCCTCTCTATCAGAGGCTGTCCATAATCCACTCACTATGTACATGCTGTGAACTTTTCCTACCTTCTAGCTTTAATACATCATAACCTCAAAGACACCCTTGACTCTTTACTGCTATTCTCCAATTCTGTGACAATAAAAAGGTATTAAAGTTTACATTACCTTCCCTGTCCAAAGACTGGCCCTGCCTCCCTCCCTATGTGACCCTGGGAGAGTTGCTTGCTTCCCCCTTTTCAACATTTCTCTGATCTCTGAAATAAGGTAGGTATATGAAGAGGTCTCCTCTTGTATTCTAAGATTTAAAAAAAGTCTGTTCTGTAATGGACTGAAATCTCTTTGCTTTCACTAGGTCACAGTGTTGGGGGTGCTTCCACACCTTTCCTTCTGCACTGGACAGGCAAAGGAGACATGAATTTTGGAGGGAAAAGATTAGTGTTTCCCAGTTACTTAGCTCCTGACTCTGGGTCACTGTGACTCAGAACTCCAACAGAGCTGTGCGCAAGCTTATGAACAGGCTTACTGCTTAATGATAACAACACCATCCACAAGAGAAAACACAGATGTCATCTAGTGATTCATAAGAACTCAGTGACACAAAACGGTGGAATACTGGTGTTTTTTCCATTTTTACTAGGGCAAAGCTATCATACCCTTTGGTAGAAGCATCAGGAAAAAATTCCCCCAACAAAATTTCTTCTAGTTTTATCTAGCCAATTCTTCAGCCTCAATGATCCCATCTCTTAACCTGGTGAAGAGGTGCAAGAGATGGAAACACCCCTCCCCCCACCCACCACCCTCTTCCCTCTCAGTCCTAGCATAGCCTTAATATCTGTTAGCAAATCTGGGAAAGAAAAATCTGAATCTGTCCACTTAACATTTATAATTGAGACCAAGAGGCTTAGAAAGTTGTAGAGCACAGTGAAGGACAAAAGGAATTCAAAGGAAACTAGAGACAATGAGAAGTAAAGTGGGTGGTGAAGTTGTGTTGGGGAGAATCAGGTAAACCAATTTGGGGAGCCACTAATCCCACATGGTTATATTTTGATCAGAACATGCTGCTTTGCGGTTTGAAAACCAATGATCTTCTGAAAAACATGGGCAGAAATCTTGTTTAGGGCCCTGGTAAGAAGCAACACCAATGCCTAAAAGGTGTGTCTGAGAAATTGCTAGCCAACAGAATGTTGTTGAAAAATTTATGTGGGATAAGAAAACTCTTTATTAAAAGGAGCCCTGGGATTTCTCTCTAGTGAATGGGTTTTCTCACGAGAGAGTTTGTTTTTGCCAGGTGGGATTGTTGTACATTGGGGCCACAGATCTTAGGTGCTGATTCCAGGGAGAAGTGAGCCATGACCCTGTGGAGTGACAAGGCATATGCATGCCTTCATCCACACTGGGTAATGGAGGAAGTTCAGAAACATGCAAATCCTCAGGACTTACGTGAATTGTAGTGGCTAATACAGCTTATCGAATCACATTGGATATAAGGTATATTTTATCTGCTATGATGTTGGCATGTTTGCTTCAACCATTCCCAGAAGTAACTGTAGTGTAAACAACTCTGTACCAAGAAATCTTTCAGCAATCCAAGATTCTTCCTCCGAAGGCTCTGTCATCCTTAGAACTTTTCCCTCAGATTGTGATTGAAGGTCATCACCTTCTGAATGTCTTAGTTAGAGGAAAGGTAAAGAAAATGGAAGACAGAGGGCCCATGTCGACTTCACCAGAGCATGTCCTGGACATTATCGCTTTCCAAAGTATGTTACTCATCAGAATTTTATCTCGTAACCTTATTTCACTGCAAGAGAGATTAAGAAAAGCAGGGTTTTTTTCTGGGTGGTGATATTCTCAGTTAAGATAAGGAGTAAATCAATTTGGAAGCAGTTAGCAGGCATTGCCACACATAAAAGCAGCAACTTCACGGGAGATGGTTTTCTCTGTGGAAAAGTGCAGACAGGTAGTGCTTCTAGGGGTGAACCCATTATGCCTTTCTGTTGCAGGCACACCCTAATGGCCCAGCCTGGTGCTGGTGGATCTTAGCGGTTCTCCCACTGGAAAACCGAGCTCAGCTCCCGTTCCTGGCCATGAGATCCCTAAAAGATAGATTGAATGGAATTCAACGGGTCTTGGCCTTCGTTGGAAACCAGTGAGAAAGGTAGATGGCTGAAGAGGAATTCTTACTCTCTTCACTGCCCCAGGGGGGCATTGTCTTGTAAATATATCGAATGGCAATAACATCTTAACAGAAGGAAGTCTCAAACAGAGAGGCTATTGATCATAGAGTGAACTTGCATAGTCCCATGGAAAGAATTGGGACCTGTTTGAAACTTTCTGTCTTAAGATGCTTCTTGATGTGCTGCACAACTAGACACACAATAGAGGTGTTAAAAGAGCCCAGAAGAAAAAAAAATTCATTTGATTTTGACATAAAAATTTCTGAAAGTCTCAAATGGTTTTGGTTTAATTTTCTTTCTTTCATAGATGAATGACTGTGTGGGTGAAGTGTGAGGTGAAAATGCTAATGATGTTACTGCATTCTTTCATTGACTTAAAGTCTCATTCCAATGGTTCAAATTTTATACAGCATTGTGTATAATAATGTTCATACTTCTTTCCATGTTGATCACTTATTTTTTACACTACTGTATCCTTTTCTAGGTGTATGTTGATAACTATTTAAGTGTACAGTATGGAAAAGTATTGTTTTATTTATTGGTATGTTTTACAATGTACCTAGGGGGAAGTAATATGCCAAATGTGAAATCTGTGCTTGAAATATTTTTGCTTTACATTTTATTCTAGTTCTTGATACAGTTTTATATATACATATGTGTGTATATACTATATCCATGTAGATGTTTTTAAAAGTTTAGAATCAAACTAAAATCATCTCTTTAATGATTCCATTTTGATAATGGAAAAATAGTTAAAGGATTTGGCATAGCTTAAGACATAGGCCAGGTACAAGTCAAGTAATCTATTTCCTATATGTTAGATATAGCAAGGCTGAAGGAATTATTTTTCTGGAATAACAAGATGAATCAGAGGAGTGTCTTCTCTTACAATGTGCTATCAGCACTCCTTTTGACAGTCCATTACTGTATATAATTTCTCTCCAATTAAAAATGGAATTCTTTGGAAAGGTAATATTTAACCCTTCAGGGGGAATGGCTTTCATTTTGGCTCACTAGTTTGCCAAACTAGTTTCCACAACCACCTTTTTTGGGGTTCAGAAAGCTTCAAAGACTTGGCTAGCATTTGTGAAAACAGTTGGTAAACAGTCTGTTATATAAAAAGGAAATAAGTTGGTTCATCTAGAATCCTTTAAAAGATACACCAAACTGTATATTGATGTGTATATATGTATATACATATATACATATGTATGTGTATGTATATATATATATATAGTTTTTGGATTTTCAGTCTTTTTCAAAGGACTAAACACTGCCTTTTCTACTAATTGCTTTTTGTCAAAGATTTCAATGTTGGGGAAGAAGTGTGGCTAAATATTTAACTTGCCTTGTGTTACTTTGAGCCTTCAATACCAGGAGAAACTTGGGAAATACTGTGCATATAGGAGTGTTTTAGTAATAGAGTGACTAGCATGCCATTTGTACCTTTGTGCAAATAATCTTCCTTACTAGACAGCTGCACCACATTCCTCCCTAGCTGCCATCCATTCTGTTAAGGTGAGTGGTTAATGCCCACAGTAATCAGTCTGGCGTCTTGTACCATTGCCCATGGTCAGAAATAGAAGAGAATGAGAAAATCTGGACAACATAGAAGAGACTTATGTAAGCAAAAACCAAATGATCTTTTCTATAATTTTTTAAGGAACACTGTGTTGTCTGTTACTGGGTTTGATGTTCGGAGCCAAACAGTGAAGGATGAAAATATAGATATACAAGGTTCAGAGAGCAGGAAATCAAAGATCTTTATTTCCACCTGGTACCCAGTTATGTGATCCATAGCATAGTTCTGACATGAGTGTTTTCTTGGTATTTAGTTTAAATGCATCAGAGAGAAAGGACATATGTTCCATTTCTTGCAAGATGTATTCACCTTTTGGTGAGTGATTTCATTTCACCGATTCCTATTTCCCCTGTCTAACAAATAGTAGTGATAATAGTTATGGCTAGGACCATTGATATATGTAAATAACTTAGCACAGTGCCTACCCTATAGGAGGTAGGGAAAATGATAGCTATTATAAGCTTACTTCAAGTTCTGAAATATTACAAGGGACTTATATTTGCCTAAAACACTGCCTTTACACAAAATATCTGTTTTCAAACCCTTTTAAATATGTTCAGAGAGATCTATGCCACTGACATGCAGATGATAACTTAAAGATGTATGGGTAATACCTTTGAGGATAAGTCTCTTTAGGCAGGCAAAGACAGAAAAACAACTGAGGTTTGAAGGAAAGGGAGAAGAGTATGACGGCAAAATTTCCTGTTTTCACTTAATCACTTAACTTCCCGTTAGTCGTCGATTTGCTCGAGCAGGCGCCAGTAACGTCTCCATTTGTCCCTGTTGCGTGCTAGTGTAGCCCAATGGCATCTCTTCGCTCCGGGAACATGGAGGGCCTCAAACCGATCGTTCATGATCTTGACAAAGAAGTCTGACCATCTGGTAGGTGGGCGGCCACGCGGTCTCTTGACATCCCGTGGAATCCAATCAGTAACAGCTCTAGTCCAACGGTCGTCTTTAAATCTCATTACGTGACCAGCCCATCTGATTTTCTTGTGGCAGCCTAGGTCGGCCTTGAGATTTTGTCGGCCTCTCCTTTCTCATCCTTCTCAGTGCTGCCATGTCGGTGAAGCCTTCAGGGTCAGGTGAATGAGACCAGTTGTAGTTACTGGTTTTGGCATATCGAATACACAGCGGATAGCTTGCCAGGCTCTTCCTGTTTTAATAGGGCTAAAATTTCATGTTTGGAAAACTAGACTTCTTGATATAATGGAAGCCTTAAATTCTAGTTTCAGTAGAGTACCTTAAGTTCCAGCTCCATTAAAATAACTAAATTGTCACTCTTTGTGCCCTATTATGCATTGGGAATCTTGACAATGCCAGGAGAACAGATTTCATTGTCTGGCTTTTAAGGTTAGTTTGTGGCGTTTTTTTGTTTAGTGCAGCTCTGATCATTCCACGCCCTCCCAATCCCCAGACAAATTTATTTATTATTATTTTTAATTGAATCATAGTAAAATAGAGTTACAAAGCTTTCATGATTGAGTTTCAGTAATACAATGATTGGACACCAGTCCCTCCACCAGTGTGCGTTTTCTACCACCAATGACCCCAGTATCCCTCCCACCAGCCCCATTCCATCCCACCCCCTACCTTTGTGGCAGACAACTTTCTTCTTTCTCTCTACTTTGGGCATCATGGTTTGCAATATAGATACTGAGAGACCATCATGTTTGATCCTTAGCCTACTATCAGCACATATCTCCCATTCTGAGCAACCCCTCCAACCATCATTGACTTAGTCCCCATCCAAATTTATTGAGCACTTGACTCTTAAGTGGCTTAGCAACACCTTTGAGATTCTTTTACAAGATTTTAATACTGTAGTGGTGAGAGACAAGACACACTTTGGCTTGCTCTGAGATGTATTTGAAAGGGACAATCAACAGATCATGACCATTTCCCCCTTGTGAGCTGATTTTGTTACAAAGCTTGGTTATGTGAGTAGAAAGACTAGACATTGGATTAACTCTATATGAGTGCAAGACTTCCCCCTTGGTGGATAGTTCCCTGTATTTTGTTAGTTTTCCTGTTTCGTTATTTACCTAGTATTTTGGTAATACTTTTTCTCTGTGTGTACATATAGGTGTAATTGTGTATATATAGATGTGTGTGTACGTATCAAGTGGACATTATGACTTTATGTTTGGTACTGTACTACTGCTGCTAGTGAATAACCAGCAAAATGTAAGAATTGAACTTTCTGTAAACAACTATGAGAAACAGTACTGGCCTCTGATATGGGGGCACAGAGAACTGACGATTTCAAAATTTTGCCTTTACTGAAGACCTACTGCTTCTAGTCCAGTGCTGAGGAAGCACAGGATAGTTGAGTCACTGCTTTTGTGACCCTTACAGCTCAGCATAAAGAGCTGATTGGGCTCAGATCATCCCCTGGGGGTTGGCAGCAGAGCTCCTGCAGCTTGTTCACGGAGCCTGGAGAACTTTTAAATGCCAACAGATTGCACACTGTGGATGAACTAGAATCCACTGGGGACTGTGTTCCCCACACCAACCCCATTTCTAAGATGGGAGTTTTACTGAGGGAACTCAGTCATTGAGTTCCCAACATGCTGGCTTTACAGCCATTTTTATTTCCCTAGGAAGAATCACGAGTAAAAATTCCGAAGGAAGATGCAGATGGAAAACAGCCCTTATAAGGGATATAGGATAGATTGTAAACCCTTTCCTAGGTTTAAGGCTTTGATTTTACTGGGTTTACAAATTTGGTGATCAACGGCAATGCTGAAGAGCAGCTGGCTGCCCTTCATGGCCCTTGCTGAAGGAGAAAAGAGGGGGAAAGGAGCCATGTGAGATGGAGACCTTACTTTTAGAATGTGAATGCTCATGGTTCACTATTTAACTATTTGGGTTATATATACCCAGCGGTGAAAGGAAGATACTTTCACTAGAATGGATCTTTTCAACGGTGGTTAGTTAACTTTGGAAGAGAAGTGCCTGTAATTTCTGTATTTAGTCTTATATCAAATCCTTTTCTCTATGATTCTGTAATTCTTTAAAATTTGAAAATCCATCTCATCAAATATGATTAACAGAAGTTTACAAAACTACACTGTAGCTTAGGCATTGTTTAAAAGGTTGCTTGGCATTAATCAATTGTCAGAGCAGCAACAGTAAATGAGATTCAAGAGCAAATAGGTCATTGTGGTATCATAGGCTTATCTTAGATAAACTAGTTTCATCATTTTATGAAATACTTAGAAATGCCAGGATTAAAGTATCAAGTGAATCTTTTAAACAGTGGCAAATGTGTTTGTCTGTTACTCCATTTGCTTAATAAGTAGTCGTTTCAGTCTTGAACAGTAATTAATTGAAAGATTAATTAAGATTGTGCTTACCCAATGTCTCCCCACCCCTCCCCACACTCCACCCTCACTATTGCTTTTCAACTACCTCTATATGCTTGATTTCTATTTAGGATTTTCTTTCCTCCAGATCTTTAGAAAAAAATATCTCATCTGTATTGTAATAACAATGTGACTGATATAGAAAATCTCTGTAAAAACTGGTCATTAAAAAAGTGTTCTGTGGTCTCAGTGTTTTATCTAACAAAACTCTGTCCAAACCTTAGAGAAAAAATTAGTCAAATAACTTCACTTTGGTTTTGTTGGAAACTGAATATAATGGATGGCTGTTGGCACCTGTTATGTTTGGAAGCACCTGTTTTGTTCTTGTTTTGATTGGTTGTAATACATTTCACTAGAAAATCTCTCAAAGTCATAGCCTTGTACCTTGTAATCAAACTCTTGTGTGAGCAAGAGAGAGATGTAGTAAGGCACATGTGAATTGTAATATTAATGTGATGTGTTCTGAAAAGTTGGTCATAATTTGTTTTGAAAATGTACTAGAAACGCTTGTTAGTTCAAATATTGTATTGATTCATTTTGCTAATAGTCTGGCCGAGATTTTCTGTAAATCCATTCGTATATTGGTATTACTTACAGCTAAATACATTACCTACTCTGTTTTCTTTGGCATTATTAAATGTTCATAAAAGCAAATGACATGAGTTGTTTTTCATTTCAATTTGATTTCTCCACAATAGGCCAAAGTATGAACCTTTGGGCAAAATTGACTGGAACAATCAGTGGCATGGACGGATCTGAGTCTATCAGGAAAACCTCAGCATTGTTTACTCATAGCTACAATACTTGTTTGTGTGTACTACCATTGATAACTTTGCAAGATTTCTATTTTATCACTGATGAAAGCAAGTGTGGCAGAACATTTTAAATGCAGAACCATAAAATCCCATGTAGGTTTGGCCTTGTGCTTTGTAACATGATCTTGTGGGTCATTGAGAAAACCCAGAACTCCTGCCCAAGTAGGCCCCAGAGAAAATGCTTGACTTTATTGGACACTGCCTTCTTGCCTGTTCTGCCACTCTCTGCTTCTCAGCAGATACACCACAGAAAAAGGCATAATCTTCTCTCCAAGGCACTTCTTCTGCACAGCATGCCTGAGTAACATACTCTCTCTCACTTTCTCTCTCTCTTTGTCTCAGACCATCTTAAAAGGAGGTCATATTTTCTGATGTACCTTTAGTCATGAACAAAACCATAGCCAACACTTTCTGTTTCCACCCCTCTAGGATTCAGCCTGACATTTTTGATTTCTCCTAAAGATGTGTTCCTAAAAAATACTCCCAGTCTCGCTGCCAAGATTAGTACCAGGAGGTTTGCTCCATGGCTTGGAGGCCAGCCACATATGCTAGGGGAAAAGGGCGCTCAGATAGAGAAGGGAGCACCAAATAAAGGGTGTTGGGAGGATCCTCCCAGGATGGGAGAAAAATGCTGAAAGTAGACTATAGACCAAACATGATTGCCAATCAATGCCTCTTTTGCAAACCAGAACACACAAAAGGAGAGAGAGAGAGAACAAAAGGGAATGCCCTGCCACAGAGGCAGGATGAGATGGGAGGGATGGGGGGTTGGAGGGATTCTGGGACCCGTGGTGGTGGAAAATGGGCACTGGTGGAGGGATGGGTATTTGATCATTGTATAATTGAAATCCAAGCACAAAAATTTTAAGTCTACAACTGTACCTCATGGTGTTTCACTAAAAAAATTTTTAAATAATAAATAAAATATAAAAAATTAAATTAATACTCTCAGTCTCAAAATTAGGTCAGAAGAAAAGAAGTAAAGAATAAATACCCTAAACCCACAAATTTTTCTATTTAAACATACCCTTCCTCTTGTATTTTAGGGTTTCTCTACTCCCAGATGAGATCAGGGGCTGGCAGAGAGCTCATGTTAGTACTTTCTCAATTGATTTATATTGTTAATGTTGAAACTCCCCAACCATACTGCCTTTGGCCAACCCAATGTACAGTAGAGTGGGTAGGGCTCTTGTCTTGCATGCAGCTAACCTAGGTCCACTCCCTGGAATATGGTCTCCCACGCAGTCAAGAAATGATCCCTGAGTGCAGAGCCAGGATCTGGTACCTCTAAACACTAAAAAGACTTTCATACAAAACAGTGGTTAGGATTGGGCAGCAAGTTCACAGATGGAATTTGATTCTCTGCTTAAGCATGCTATAGGAATGAGTTCCCATTGGTGAGGGGTGGATTGGTTTCATGGAAATAGTCAATCATAGCTAATACAGTGACTGCATTTTCACCACCTAAGAACTACATGCATCCTTTTCTCATATTGACTGGATTTGATCTTCTATCCTCATTTAGGATGCCATTTACACCCAAATCAAGAGGACAACCACGCTATGTTCCTACACCTTTCCTACTCCAAAGGCTAAATATCCACTTAATGTCAACTACATGCTAAACTATCTTCTAAGATTTAAAAATGTAGGGACCAGAAAGATAGTACAGAGGTTAAGACTTGATTTGCATGTACCCAACTCTGGTTTGACCCCTGCCACTGCATATGATTCCACAAACACCACCAAGAGTGATACATGAGCCTGGAGTCAGGAGTAAGTTCTGAGCATCACTGGATGTGGCCCTAAACCAAAAAATAAATATTACAAAATCAAAACCACATTTAACTTCTCATTATAAATCACCATAAGCTCAGAAGTCAATCTCTAACATGGTAAAGTTACAGATAATAAATAGCAGTACATGTAATTATGTCACTGGCCTATGTCCCAACAGTTTAAAACAGCACTTCACAAAAGTTGGGGAAAGGTGGTGAAATCTCTAGAGGGAATATGAAGCAAACAGGCAGGCAGGCAGATAAGAAAAATGACCCCTCATGGCAATGAGTACTTGGTAAGAAATAAAACCAACTAGCCCCAGGTCTTCCAGGACCCACTTTGTGGACCCAGGAACTGAGGCCTGATGAGACCTTTTTCTGGCTCCACAGCAGGCCCAGAGAATGCTGTCCCCAGCCTCAACCCCAGAAGCTCCATCAGGAGCAAAGGCATGTCAAAGAAGACCATAAACTATTTCAAAATCTACCCATAGGCAACTACGTTAGCAATGGACTCTGACCTAGGTAGAAAGCCCCATGCGGGGCAGCTTGGGAGAAACTAACACTATATAAGCTAACTCAGAATAAACGAGGCTTGCATGCATGTGCCGCCTGAATACATGTGTTGTTGTCGATTGAATGTGGTGAACAAGCACAAGTGTCCCCTGCATATCCCCTCTTGAGATGTGCACTTCCATACTTTAACACTGGCATGTGTACTGGGGCTCTCTCCACTCTGGAGAAATCCACATTCTCTTGTGCAAGTTTCTCTCTCTCTCTCTCTCTCTCTCTCTCTCTCTCCACCCTCTTCAAAACTTTCAAATAAAATCTATTTTAACTTCAAAACAGAAAACAAGTCACTGTGTTCCTACAGCCCATATTGTGAACGTTTATAATGAACTTATTATATTACATATAATTATAAATAATATAAATTATATAATAGTATTAATTATTGTACTATAAAATTATATCATTATGCTACATCATAGACACTGGAGAACAACTCTATCTGTGGGTATCAGATTGGGAACTTTCCATAACAATGCCAGCAAAAGACTAGCAAAACTGCTGTGCTAAGCATTATCTAATTTCATGTTGATAAGTCAGTCACGATCCTCCCATCGTTCATCGATTTGCTCAAGCGGGCCCAGTAACGTCTCCATTGGAGACTTTATTGTTACTGTGTTTGGCATATCAAATACATCACGGGTAGCTTGCCAGGCTCTGCCGTGCGGGCGAGATACTCTCATGTTGATAAAGGTCCTCTTATTCCTAATCTGAATCCTAACTCATCTTTTGGAAAGGATGTCTTGTCGAAAAAATAATCTTACTCAAGTCCATACAGCTTAACAATGGGAATCCTGGCTTTCTGCCCCTACAATGATGGTTCTTATCCTCTTGAACCCCCTACTTACCACAATTCTCCACTGTCCATTCCTCTATTCTATATATTCTTTCTAATTACAGTATCTAAAGATTTACTGTCTTTGAGACCCTCCTTCATGTGAACATTTTCCCCCAAGTGACACAACTCAAGGATCTCACAACTGTCCTCACAGCTTAACTAGCTCATTTTTCCTCTCCCAACATCTGTGGCCATTTTGACCATATTTCTGCCACTCAAAAAAAACCCTGAATATATATTTGTATATTTGTAGAACTCAAAGGTAGAATGAGAAATTTGGAATGTTTAATCTCCATAGTTCTTGAGGTATATCTCCCAAAGTAGGAAGAGGACATAAGAAGTCATTAAGCCCAGGGATACAGGAGAGCTGGAGTGATAGAGTACACATAGCATGGGAAAGGGATTACCTGGCACTATATGGATCCTTGAACCCCTCCAATTGTATCCCTGGTGATTCTGAAGGACTAATGCGTGTGGCCTTATTTAAAAACTTCAACAATTAGTTAAAAATAATCCAAGGACCAGATACTACACAGGTTAGATACCTGCTTTGCACATGAATGAATCTAGCTTGATCCCCTACACAACATAAGGATCCCTGAGTCCTGCCTGGATTGACCTCTGTGCATCATTGCCAGGTATGGGTTAAACTTTCCTCTTATGAAAGCCATCCAGCCCAGACTCTTGCTTCCAGCCAATATTGTTCTCTTATTTGATAGATAAGAGAACTCTAGCTGTACAAAAGTATTAAAGGCAAGGGAAAAAAGTATTAATGGCTAGTCCATGACTCATAATAAAAATCCCTAACTTCTGATACCCACACTACATACCAAGAGAAGCTCAATCCTACTGAACACCACATGGGTGTTCTGAAGTGGGGTGCCTTCAAGGTGGCACTTCATTGGGAGAAAAAAGTCCTCTAAGGTGGCTGAGACCTATTTCAGAAGACTCAGAGAATTATTTTTTTCTGACTGAACACCATCCGCTCACACAACTTTTGTCTTCAGATTGTTTCTCTTGCCAGGATATTT